CTGGTGTCTGTGTTCCCCTGGCCATCTGTCCATGTCTGAGGCCTGGTTTTGGGACAGCAGTGGAGACCCTGTAAAGGGTGGTTGGACCAGGGAAGACACTGGAAGGCTCATGGTGGGGGACACTACCAGGTGAGCCTCTCGGGGTCACCCCAGTGGATCCCTGGGCATATCCCAGTGGATCTCTGCCCCACCTCTTCCCTCTCCATCCAGCTCTTGGGGCCTCTCTTTGCATCTGGCCCCCTGCCCAGAGGACCACAGGGGGCTATCAGCCCTGGTTGGTGGGAGGAATCCAGACTATGGTCAATCCTGAGAGGTTCCTTGGGACAGAGCCCACCTGCATTAATCTATTCAAACGGTTGCCCAAGAATAATGCTAGGCACACTGTGGGGGCCAGTCCTGAGAAGGGGTGTGGGGGTGACTCATGGACCTGCCCTCTGTCCCTTGCATTCATGGGGAGGCTAAAATGAAATCCCAGACACAGCATTGCAATGAAGAAAGGAGCTTGGGGAAGGGCAAGGTGGGGACGGGGGAAGTTCTGCTGGGGTGACTGGAACTTGGAGCTTTTAGGGCCGTAAAACCCTGCTGAGCACCTAATCATATGAGCTAAGGCTATACAACCCTTAGAAGAAAACGCTGGGGGAAATCTTCATGGCCTTGAATTTGGCAACAATTGCTTAGATATGACACCAAAAGTACAGGAAACAAAAGAAAAGAAAGATAAATTGGAAAAATTAAAAACGTTGTGCTTCAAAGGATGATGTTGAGAGTGAAAAGGCAGCCCAGAGAATGGGAAAAAAATATATGCAAATCACAAATCTGATATTAGAATTAATGTCCAGAATACATAGAGAACTCTTATAACTCAACAACAAACCCCCAAACACTTCATTTAAAAATGGGTAAAGGACACGACTGGCCAACCAGCCCATGAAAAGATGCTCAACAGTGCTTGTCATGGGAAACACCAATCAAACCACAGTGATACCTCTTCATCCATCAGGATGGCTGCTACCAGAAAATAGCAGTGTCAGGAGGATGTGGGGAAACTGGAGTCCTGAGCACTGTTGGTGGGAATGTAAAATGGTGTAGCTCCTATGGAAACCAGTATGAAGTTTCCTCAAAAATTAAACATAGAATTCCCATATGATCCAGCAATTCCACTTTTGGGTATATACCCAAAAGGATAAAGCAGGGTCTTAAAGAGATTTTTGCACATGTCACACCATGTTCACAGCAGCATCACTCACAATGGCTGAAATGTGAAAGCAACCCCAGAGACCACGGACAGAAGAAAGAATAAACAAAATGTGGTGCATCCATACAAGAGAACATGAGCCTTAAAAGGGAAGGAATCATGACACTTGCTACAACATGCATATAAGTGGAATCATTCAGTCCCTGTCTTTTCCTGATTGGCTGATTTCACTCAGCACCCGTCCTCAAGAAACCCCTACTTCTCGCTTCTGTGAGGTCCCTGGAGGAATCCGAGTCATAGAGACAGAAGGTATGACGGTGGGTGCCAGGCGTCGGGGCAGGAGCTGGGGAGTTTGTGCTCAATTGAGACATGGTCTCATTTTGGGAAGAAGAGCTCAGGACATGGGTGCTGATGTTGGTAGCACAATGTTAATGTCCTGATGCAACTGAATTGTACGGTTAAATGGTAAGATGATAAATGTCCTTATGTTTATTTGTCACAATAAAAAAAATACCAAATATTCCAACCCTGCCTGCCGCACCAGGGGCTGGTTCTTCTCCCACACATGGCAGCCACAGAGGAGGCCTAGTGCTCCTGAGTCCAGGCTGTGCGATAGATTCCACCCTCCGGGGGAAGGTGGGGGTGAGGGGGGGTGGGGGCTCCAGTCCGGCCCTGTGCTGACTGAATGGCCCCTGGTGACAGAGCTGGCTGCTCTGGCTGGCCTCACTCAGGGCCACACCCACTTCAGCCCCTTCTCCACACTACCCTTTCCCTGCCCTGTGCGGAGGCCCTTGGAGTGTTCCTGTCCCCATAGGCTCCTGCTGACCCCTGTCCTGGCTGTGGCTGCCGCTGGTCTCCTTCCTGCTTTGAAAATTTTCATAGCTCAGCTGTCTGCTCCTCACTTGCCAGGCTCCGAGGGCGGGTGCTGGTCGGCCACATACCTGCTTCTCCTTCGGTGGCCCTGAGCATCTACAAACACCTGGACAACCCCCACCAGACACTTATCCTCACAACCCCAGCCCATTTTCTGTAAGGAAGGGTCTTCCTGCTTCACCAGCCTCTCCACTAACCTTGAGGTTAGTTGTCCCGTCACCTCCTTCCACACCTAGTCCTGCCTGTTTCCTGCCTTGAAGGAGCGGCAGGGGTGGAGGAGATGGTTCGATTTTATGGGCACACCCAAGAGCTGGATCTCTGAGGGAGGAGGCGGCAGGCCAGTGCTGCTGTGTCACATCGGAGGCCCTGGGACTCCTCCCAGGGGGCCTGCTTTACCCTCCCAGCAAGCCCCTCACCACTTGGGGATTTTCACTCCTCACCGGGTGCTGAGACGCGGGGGTTTGTGTGGAAGGCCCCTCCCGCCCTCCTGGGAATTCCTGAAATACAGGATCTGTGCTCTCGCCCTGAATTACATGGAGGTGGAAGCTGGACAAACATACAATCGAGGTGGTTGTGTAAGCCTCAGGCAATCCCCTTCCTGAGCCACCAAGGCCCTGATGGACTGTGTCCAATAAGCCACACCACTGTGCACACCGGGTCCTCCTCTCCTCACTCACCACACCACACCACCCCACACTGCACTGCACGGTACCGCACCGCACCACACCAACCCACACCATACCACACCGCACCACACCAACCCACACCACACCGCGGGCTCTGCAGGGCAGTGGGTCTGGGCTGTGGCCTGCCGGTCTCTGGTCAATCACTTCCCAGGTGAGCAGGCACCTGCATCTCCTGCGCCAGCAGCTCGCCCTCCCTGCTCTGCCCTGCCTGGCCCAGGTGCAGCTTATGACCATCTTCCTGGCCTTCACCTCCCTCAGCTCCAAGGCCTTGTCCAAGTGCCTGTGGCCACCTTCATGTGGGCTCCAGGATACTGAGGACCATTCCCCACCCAGGGAGACAGTGTCTGACAGCGTGACACTCTGATTTTGTCCCCACTCCCAACTGCCAATGCTCACAGGGCCACTCCCCCTCCCCGTCCCCCACTCTGGCAGGCAGGGGCCCTGCTCCACTGTGTCAGATGGGCAGCTTGGGGGGTGTGAAGCTGGACCTTGTTCTGACTCAGAGCCCTGGGTGCTTCGGGTATACAGGGGTCCATTCGTCCCCTGGGCAAATTCAGAGACAGTTGTAAGATTCCTGGGAAAGTGGAGGAACGTGAGAATCCCACCCGCAGACAAGGAAGCCACTACAGGAACAGGACCCAAGACTGAGAGTCAGGATGAGGGCTGCAGACGAGCTCCCCTGCAGCCATTTCCCTCCTCTAGGCCAGAGTCCCCTGGAGACAGGGGGACCATGCAAAGGTCATGTGTGCAGGGAAAAGATTAGGATGCAGGTGTTAGGTGAGGTCCGAGCAGCAGCCCTGGGGGAGGGTAGAAGTGCTCTGGGCAACCCCCAAGGACAGGGCTGGGCCAGCTTTGAGGAGGGAAATCGGTCTTATTTGTGTCATGGGCTCCCGGGTCAGGTAGGGAGCTCCCCATCCGAGGAGGCATGGCAGCAGAGACCCATTCACTGGGGCTGCAGCTCCACAGAAGGGCTTCCAAGCACCAGGAAGTGAGTGCCTTGGATCTGCCCACAGCTCTGACTCAGGCACACAATCTGATTCAGGCACACAGCTCCCCGGTGGGCTGCAGCAGGGAGGGGAGGGTGGGGGGCATGTTTGCGATAGCTGTGGCCTTCTCCATGGAGCCACCTCCATGTTTGTTGTTTACAGAAGCTACAGCGGGGGGTACCAGATGCACACAGCCAGCCCAGAGGGGCCAAGGGTCACAGGGGCGGCTCCCACCCGCTGGTTGGAACTTGCTCAGCCCTGAGCAGAGAGGCAGTTGGGCTGGGCAGGGTGCCCAGCACAGGTGCTGGAGGGACTGGCAGGGCAGGGCTTTTCAGCCCCAAGAGGTGGAGCCAAGGAGACTTCCCCGAGAACCAGACTCACTCCAGCTCCAGGCCCAGGTGGGTACTCCTCTCAAGCCGAAGGCCAGGTAGGGTGGGAGTCAGGCAACTTGAGGCCCAAAGCTGGTGGTGGGCATCAGGGGGCACTGGACACAGGCCTTGCAGGAGGAAGGGGCAGGATTCACACCTGGACTTTGATGGGTTCAAAGTTTCCAGCTTCAAGGTGGGGGCACAGGTGCCTGAGAAAATGCTCAGATTACTACGGAAATGCAGTCCCCAGCTCTGGCCTGAGGCTGGTTGCTTTCAGGATGCCTCAGAGAGACAGTTGGGAGGTGATGGCCCAGAAACGGCCCCCACACTCAGGGTCTTTGGGCAGCCACCGCCCTGACTCATTTTTCACATTTCAACAAAGAGGGATGTCTTTTGTCCAAACACCAATCTAGTGGTGGTGGGGGTGATGTCACAGAGTCCCTGAGGCTGCTGCTACTGGGATAAGGGTGAGAGGGGGAACAAAACCAGGCCCCTCACCTCCAGGGACAGCACCGTAGCTGATGGGGAGTGGGGGTAGGGGGGAGGGCAGGAGGGGACTGGGGGGGAGGAAGCCAGGCTCAGGAAGGTGAGAGTCTGAGCTTGAATGTGCCTTGGGTCTAGAGAGGCAGTGTGAGAGAGGGAGGGGCCCAGTGAGGCCCCTCCCCTGTAAGCAGGTCCCCCTCTCTGCCTGCTCCTGTGGCATTCCTAATTGTTGATGACTGACTCACCCTCACTTCAAAGGCTTGGGCCAAGTTCAGCTATTTAACCTGCTGCACTCCACACCACTCTGAAATTCTGCTCTGCGGGGAGCTGGCTCCCCACCTGTGGACTGCTCCTCACCTGGGCAGGGGCCTCCGCTCGGTCTGGTCTTCGGCACAGCCCCTCCAGGGCCATGTCCTCTGCCCTGGCCCCAGCCATGGCCGTGCAGGTGCCCCTGTGGCACCACTACCTGCAGGCCATCCGCTCACGGGAGGCGTCCCGGGCGCAGGACTACCAACGTGCAGAGAACGTGCTGCTCACCGTGCTGGAGCGTGTGCATTCCCGGGACCCCCGCTTCCTTGTGGATTACTCCCGAGACCTGGAGGCCTTGCAGTTTGCCCTGCGCTCCTCGGACAGCCCCGTGGACATGGAGGTGCCCCTGAGGGTGGACGCTGAAGCCCTCCTGAGTGAGGAGCCAGGGGCCAGCGAGATGGGCGATGGCTCCGTGACCTGCCGCCTGGGAATCCCCAGAGAAGGGGCTGGCTTGGAGCAGTGGGTGACTGACGACGTCTTCACCGCCTCCTTGAACAGCGGCTCCAAGTGCTGCGGCTACATTGTTCCCAGCAAAGTCCTGCACGTCCTCAAGGACCTACTGGTGGCTGCCATCGTGCACTGCAAGCACCACGGCCTCATCGCGCCAGGTAGTGGGCAAGCTCTCTGCGCACGCATGAGTGCGTACGTGTGATGGTGGTGAGTGCGCGCACACCTGTGTGAGTGCTCAGTGTGTGTGTCTGGGGCACACGAGTTGGGGGACATCGCTCTGAGTTCTAAGAAGACATGTTTCATGTTACTTGAGTTTTATATGGCGATTTTGATAGTAACGTTTGAATGGATGCTACTTTGTAAGCGGCTGGAAAGGATGACCAGTGTGCTGTTTTCCAGCTGATCTGCTTCAGGAGGGTCCCTGATGCAGCTCTGTTGTCAGTCCCAGCTGGACCCAACAAACAGTCCTCCCAGCTGTCCTCACTTCCAGCCTCAGGTCACATTGCACCGGACAGGACGCTGTGTGTGTGTGTGTGTGTGTGTGTGTGTGTGTGTGTGTATGTGGGATTGTGAATGCATGTACATGTGTGAACATGCACATATGTGGGTGTGGGTGTGGGTGTGTGTATACATGCACATGTATGCACAGGGACTGGTTCAACTTATGGCCCAGTTGCTAATTGATCTCTTGGGCCCCAAGTGGGATCTGTGGCACGTACCATCATATGAGCCAGGGGTCTGGCCTCAGTCTCTCCTCTGGTGCCTTGTTGATCTGGTCTGGATGGTGGACCACTCAAGGTGGACAGGGCCAGGAGTGGCAGGCTCCCTTCCCCCCAGGACTGAGAGGGGCTAGAAGCACAGGTGCGGGTTGTGCAGGGCCCAGGACAGTGGGGCCCTGGGTGAGGAAGTCCATCTTCCTGAGGGTCAGGAGAAAGACATCAGGGTGTCCTGGCAGGCAATTAGGGACTGAAGCAGAATGCCCTGCCTTCTTGGGAGGGATAGGTAAGCATGGGGTGGCTGACGCCTGGTATTAGTCTGGCCCTCACATCTGCTTTGAGATCAGTGAGTGGGGATGGTCAGTCCCCTGAGGGACGGTGCCCAGGTGTGGAGACCAGGTCTGGCTGCAATCTAGGCTCCAGCCCACCTGGTGACATGGTCACCTTAGTCACCTGGGCATCCCATAGGACCAATCTTTTTCCCGTGGCTCCTAGGGAAGCCGGGCATCCTTCTCCATGCCAACATAAAGATTCAGCAGCAGCCAGGCTTCCTGATAGACTTGTAACACAGGAGGGGTGGCTCCCCATTCCAGTCCCTCCCCAGACCTGGCTGGTGACCTGGCCAGTTGACCCCCTCTTGGGGCTGATGACAGACACTGCCCCGACAGGGTGCTGAGCCTGTCATTAGCTGCTCCTAAAGCCCAGCCTGCAGACATCTTAGCCCACCATCTCTGAACCTTCCAATTATCGAAGGCAGCTCCGCAAGGCCTTTCTGAGACCTAGCCTGGCTGTTCCCACCTGGTGCTGTCACCTTCAGGCCCTCTGTCCTGCCAAGAGGACAGACTCACCAATTGGTTGAGCACAAGGCTCTGCCCAGCCCAGGGTCCTTCAGGCACATTCTAGGCTGCCATGGCCCTCCTCACCATCCCAGGTCCCCTCAGCCTGGCCAGAAGGCAGCCACACCCAGAGGCTGGCTACCTGCCAGCAGGCAAATTCCAAGCATTGCTTCCTGACACCTCCCTTAAAAGGAAGTGTGAGCTGCAGGTGACTAGGTTAAGGCTGTCCACCCCACCCCACCCCCACCCTGAGAGCCCCTGGGAACTGTGACACCAGTCCAGACTGGTGGGGAGTGGCTGGGATGAGTGGCAGGTGTGGTTGGCTACCTTCCAAGCCACCATTTCATGGACACAATGTGTGATCAGTGGTAGCTAAGGAAATGAATTCACCTGTGGCTTTGCATAACAGGTGCCTCAAATGCTAAAAGGGAGGGACTGGGGATCACTGAATCTCTTTCCTTTTAACTGATGGAAAAACTGAGGCCCATTCCGGGGATGAAATAGCTCAGGTGGCAGGGACAGGACCAGCCTGGGCTGGTCCCAGAAGGTGGACTAAGAGCTGCCCTGCAGGAGATTAGGAGGAGGGGTATACATAGGGGGTTCTGGTTCCCTTCTGGAGGCCCTTTCCTCCCCCCCCCCTCCCGCCCCAAGGCCCTGGACTCTCCAGGGCAGACCATGTCTGCTGTAGGACAGGGGGAAGGACACTGAGGGAGAAGGCCAGTGTGCTCAGCATCCCCCACCTCCCGAGCCCCAGTCCCATGACCCCATTGAACATCTCTTCTGGTGGTCTGGGGCTCTGTGTAGGGGAGTAGGCTCTGGGCTGGGCCCCATGGGGCCTGAGTGGGAAGGGGATCAGGAAGCATTTCTGCTGGAATGTTTTGTCTCCCCTACCCTCCTGATGTCAATGGAATTTAGAGAAGCCAGGATTGTCCACTGTCAGCCTTCAGGCAGGGCCTCCTGGACGCTGGGCACCAAGCCTGCTCCTCCAAACCCCAGGTCTTCAGGGACATTGCTCATTCCCTTCTGAGCAGACCTGTCCTTCACTTCCCAGGCCCTCCCGTGAGGGGTGTCTGAGCCGGCAGAGAAGTGTTAGAGATCCTTTCTGACCTTCCTCCTTGAAGAGGGGCCAGGTCTCAGAGCCACCTTAGTGTCCCCCGCAGGGTTGGGCCAGTGGGGCCCTTGGACCCAGCCAATGGGGCGGTGGCCTGGCCGAGGGCCCTGCCCTGGGGCAGAACTGCTCCTCTTGGGGTGGTGGCCTCTCCTGGCCCAGCGTGGGCAGCTGCTGCTGCCCCTCCTCCAGCTGCAGGGGACATGGCCATGGGGTGGAACAGAGCCGGGGTCAGGAGGGCATGGGAGGTGCCCATGGGGAAGCCTCAGTGCAGGTGATGCTGTCATCACAGAGGCTGCAAACTTCTGAGCTGACAGCATCCTCGCGACATGAGTCAGCCAGCTGGGTTGTGGGAACAGATAGATACCACAGCCAGGCACTTAAACAACTTAAATCTAGGCTGGAAGTCCAAGGCCACGGTGTGGGCAGGGTTGGCCAGTCCTCACACGGCCTCTTCTCTGGGTGGGATTCCCTGACATCTCTTCCATAAGGACCAGATTAGCACCCATTCTGATGGCCTCATTTTGCTTCACTTTTAAAAAGACCCTCAACTCCAAATACAATCACAGTCTGAGCTGCTGGGAGTTAGAACTTCCACACCTGTTTTAGGGGACACAATCCTGCCCATAACAGTTGTGCAGGCACCTGCTGGGCCAGCCCCATGCCTGGCTGAGGTTCCGGGTTGATGCCGGTGTTGGGGGATAGGGGAGGGGCCTGCAGGTGTGGGCCTGGGTGGGGCTGACAGGGCTGCAGGTGAGGGCCGAGGAGTGTCTTGGGAAGGCAGGGTTAGGCACGGATGAGGGGCCAGCAGGGCGGCCATTGCAGGTTCTCTGAAGGTGGACAGCCTGTGGGAAGAGGAGCTACACCTGTCGCTGCTGGTGTCCAGTGGCTGGAGGACAATCCGCTTCAACGTGGTGCCTGTGGTGCGGTGGAAGCACAGGGTGCCTGTCCTGGAGGGGGCCCAGCGGGCGCCCGGGTTCCCTGAAGGCAGCTTGAAAAGGATCATCAGCCAAGAGGTGGCCCTGGTGCTGGCCAGTGCCCAGCTCTGGAGGTAGGAGGCACCTCCTGGGTCAGTGGGGGCCTGGGTAGTGGGCAGGAAGAAATTACCCCGCTGCTCCATGGACATCCCTACCACACAGAGGTTACAGGACTGCCAGGGGAATTCAGGAGATCCCCTTCCCCCCCCCCCCCCGCCCCGCCCCGAGCTTTGGGGAGTGGGCTGTGTGGTGGAACCCTTCATGACCAGCCCAGTGCGGGAAAGCAGCGAAGAGGACAGGTGGCTTGTCCAGGCTCCCGGCAGGTTCCAGGAGCAGCTGGGAGGGTGGTCAGGATCTAAGGAGACAAATTAGCACTGGGGCTTCACTCCATCTGGGCTGCTCTTCCAGATTCGTGTCCCCGCTCCCAGGAGGCCCCATCCAAGGTATTTAGTAGTGATGTCCTCTCCCTGGCCTGGCTGCGGAGCCCAGCAATCTGGGGGGGGGGGGGGGGCGGGGGGAGAGTGGAGGAGGGCATCTGCTGGGAAGGGAGTCTGGGAAGGTTCTGTGGGAGGGAGGGAGGGAGTGGGGGACACAGGGCAGAGGCTGAGCTCCCTGCAGACCCCACACCAGGGCCCGGCGAGCCCCATTGGGACCTACTCTGCTTAACTGCAGCTGGCCCGCAGGCCACTATGATTTGGCCAGGGTGACGCCCCTGCAGCTCTCATGTCAGGGGTGAGGTGTGCAGGTGGTTGATGTTTGTGGTTTTTTGCTGCTCACAAAGGCTCAGTAGAGCACCTAGGAGCCACCCCACCCACCTGGCCCATCTTTGCACAGAGCAGGGGCTGCGTTCAGGCGGGCGATGATGCTGGCTGCCGAGAAAGGGGCAGGGCTGGGCTGAGCAGTCATTTTTTGCAAGTAAATGGCCTTTCCTGTGCTCTGTCCACCACAGACACAGAGTGCAGTTGACCATTCAGTGTTGAGGTATAAGGGGGTCCACATAGAGTGGAGACACTGAGGGAGCCCAGGTCCCACCCTCACTCACCCAGCAAGCACACAGCTAGTGCCTCTGGTGTGCCCTGTGCTGGGGGCACTGCTGGGGGCAGATTCTGAGCCCCTTTGTGGTCTGAAGCTGCCAGAGTGGGGCATGAAATGAAGACATCCTATCTGCCAGGCTGGGGCGGCTCCTCCACACTCCTGCCAGGGACCAGAAACCTCTGTGCTCCACCCCGGGCTGCTGAGAGTGGCACCTTCCAGTCCCCGAAGGCTCCCCAAGTCCCTCTGTGCTCTGGGTCTATGTGTAAACCAGACACTTCACACTGGACAGTGCCTTCTGCAGGCCGTTCCTGAAACATGCATGAAGCCAGGCATCCTGCCAGCTGCTGCCAAGGCCTGGGCTGTCCCCTGGGGCTCAGGATGCCCATCCTGGGGAGGTTTTCCTTTCTGGGGGTAAGCTGTGGGGGCAGGGAGCCACAACACCTGGCCGAGGCCGAGATGCTGACCACGAGTGGCGTGTCTGTCTGGGCCCCCAGGGTCTCCATGGACTACCTGCTCACCAGGCTGCTTAGTGCGCTGGGCTCCCTGCCGGGCCACCGCCTGGACAGCCTCTCCATCCTGGACCGGGTCAACCGCGAGAGCTGGTGCGACAGCGGCCAGAGCCCCGGCCTGACCTTTGACCACCTGAAGGTACATGTGGGGGGCTCTGCTGGGCCTTTGTCTATAACCAGGGGCCCAGGGCAGGGGACCCCACGTTGGACCCTTGGGCCAACTCTGACCAATGCACAGCCCGGAGTAAGCTCTGAGTCAGAGGCTTCGGAGGCCTTGCCAGTTCCCAGAGGCCCAGGCTCACAAGTGACATGTGGCTGCTGAGTGCAGTGGCACCTCAGACCCGCCTTTGCCATCCCAGGGCTGGTGACCCAGGGGGTTCTCCTGGCCCTTTGGGTTGGGTGGCACACAGCCAGCCTGCCTCCAAGCTCGTGTCAGCCCTGGGAGGTGCCTGTCCTCCGGCCTGAGTCTGTGAATGTTACCGGCCGGCTCCCTCTCTGAGTAGAGCCAGTCCAGCCCTGGCACCCCACCTCTGCTGCCCAGTGGCTCCGTGACAGCCCTGGAACCATGTCCTCCTAGGGCTGGGTACTGTCAGGCGCTGGAGAAGCAGGGGCAGGAGCTCACAGGGAGGTGCAGGGGAATTGGGTGGGGCCATGGAGTCTTGGGGTCTCTGCCCGGACTGCACAGTGCGAGTGGAATGCTGCTTCATGACGTGGGTTGGGGGTTAAGAGATGTGGTCGGACCTGGTGCAGAGGGAACTCCACCAGGAGTCCCTGTGTGACCTCAAGCCACTCACCGTCCCTCTCAGAACTCCATCCCCCCTGAGGGGGTGCCAACCTTTGAGGGGGTCCTTTGAAGCCGGACACAGGGTGGCTTCTGCAGTGAAGTAGGGGTGATGGACGGCAGAGGGAGAGGGGCATTAAAGCAAAAGGAGAGGGGGACACAGGGCCAGGGGTGGGAGGGCAGCCGGGTAAGTCTAATTGTGGCTTTCAGACATATTCTGGGCCCAGGTGTCCTGGGCACACAGACTAGGGCAGGGGATGTCAGGGAGTGGGGCCCTTGGGGTGGAGCTATAGGGCATGAGTAGGAATTCAGTGGGAGTGGGGCCTGAGGAAAGGGCCGGAGGATGGTAGGAGCCTCAGATCCCCTCAGAAGGATCTTGGTGGCATAGAGAGGAGGCTGGTGGGGACCTACTCGGCTGCAGTGCCTTCTCAACCCCAGGAGTCAAGGGAGGCACCATGTTGGGCACAGCTGGTGGGGAGGGTCGAGAACTCACTCTGGGCACCTAGGGGAGCCATAAAGAGTGGGAAATAGTGCTTCTGGGTGGGGTGAAGGCTGGAGGGTCCATCACATCCTATCCCCAGGGCCTGACCCACTGTCTTCCCAAAGGCTGTGCTGCTCTGGGCCTCAGTGCTCTTCCCGGCGCCCGAGGACTGGGCGGAGCTGCAGGGCGCCGTGTACCGCATGCTCGTGGTGCTGCTGTGCTGCTTGGCCACCAGGAACCTGCCCCACTTCCTCCACCCCGAGCACAACCTGCTGCAGGACACCAGCCTGGACCTCAATGCCCTCTACCAGCGCGTGGAGCACTTCGCCAGCGAGCCCGAGGCGTCCCTGCGCATCCACGTCACCCACCTGGGCCGCAGCCCCCCGCCGCGCATCGGCCACGGGGTCAAGGCGCTCCTGCAGCTGCCCGCCAGCGACCCCACCTACTGGGCCACCGCCTATTTTGATGTCCTGCTGGACAAGGTGGGCACAGGCAGTTGAGGGGCCTTGGGCAGACCCAGGGTCACAGGTGGTGGGGATGAGTCCTGGTCACCCTGCCCCCCCTCCCTCACCCTTAGCCCCTCTGCTCAGGGTCAGGAGGTTGGTCAGGTCAGGCCTCTAGACAGCTTCTGTCGGGAAAGGATGTGACATTGGGGTCAATTAGGCCATGGTTGCTGCCTGCCCACCAGTGGCTCCACAGGCCCAGGACCGCTGTCTCAGAACTAGGGAAGCATGTCCAAGCCTGACCCTGTCCCCCCCAGAACCACCCAAAACCACAGTGAGAGCACTCAGAGCCCCAGCAGCTACCCTGGGCTCCATCCTCCTGAGGGGGCATGGCCTCTATGGACCTCATTGGCAGGTTGCCTGGACCCAGCAGTTCCATGTCATGTCCCTTGACATTTAGGGGGTGCCTGCCTATCTGCTCTACCCGCTGCCCCTCTCAAGCCCCAAGGTTCCACTAACTCCGCTGATCTCCCCTTCCTCCAACCCGGGAGCCCCCTCCTACTTCTCCCCAAGGGCCATTCCCACCTTCATGCCAAAGAGCCAACATGTCCCTTTCCAGCGTATGCCCAGAGACATGGAGTGATGGTAGTGGAAGGGGTAACCCATATTCAGGCCTCAGCAAGCACCTGCCCAGGCCTCCTTGGTGTCAGGCCATCCAGGGACACCTAGGTGTGAGGAAGGCCCTGGGGGAGGGGTCCTAGGCAGGTTCAGCTGCAGGGAGGACTGTCCAGGTGAGACCCAGAGGCAGGAATCCCAGTGGTCAGGGACAGATCTTGTCCCATGCTGTGTCTGGGGCTCAGTGATGTGCTCCCAGATGTCTCTGTGACCCCTCTGTCCCCGCCCTGCCCGCAGTTCCAGGTCTTCCACATCCAGGATAAGGACCGGATCTCGGCCATGCAGAGCATATTCCAGAAGACCAAGTTCCTGAGCGGCGAGGACAGCTGAGTGGGCACCTGGGCTCGCCGCTGCTGCACTGCCCCACGGAGGCTCCTGGGACACGGGCAGAAGGCCTTCACCTTGAGGTGGGTGGTGGGTCGTGGAGGGCCTTTCTCCGGGGCAGTGGCCTCATGGGAGTCTAAGAGTGCAGGACAGTGGGCCTCCTGGGAGCAGCTGCCTTGTCTCCAGGGGTGAGGGGCGTGTGTTTCTTGGGTCCATCCACCTACATGGTGCTGTCAAGACTCTGAAAAATGAATGTCTGGACCTTGAGGATTTGTCCCAAGTATCAAATGCTATTTGTGAGGTGAAATACTATGTGTCTGATCTTGAATAAATTAATGTACCCCCAAAGAATAGCAAGAGTTCTTGTACCTGCCCACCTACCACAAGCACAAGGATGGGGCCTGCAGCCTCACTGGATTTTGGAAATGGACCTTGGGAAGGTTCATTTGTTGGCTGGCTTGGAAACGGTGAGTTCTGAGTGGGTCAAAGCACAGACTGGCTGTCCAGCAGGTTCATGGGCTGGGTCCCCAGGGAGACAGGCACCACGTGGCGTCTTTGGAAAACCCTAGCATGGAAGCTGAGGTTCTGCAGCAGAGAACAATAGTTCACTGTCCAAAGCACAGTGTCTACACGACATGGGGCCCCAGCAGAGGATGAGTCCTGACCACGAGAACCCAGGCCACTACATGCCCACCACGTGCTCCATGTTACGATCCTTGCAATGAGGCAGGAAAACATAAGTAAAAGGCATAAATATTGGAAAAGAAGTAAACCTATCATTATTCACAAACAACTTGATTATTTACATAGAAAACCCTAAGGAATTCACAGAGAAACTATCAGACTTGTTAATTTAATAAGTCAAGAGATACAGGATTAATAGAGAAAAATGAACTGTGTTTCTATATATTACAAGTAAACCACTGGAAAGAAAAATTTAAAAATACCATTAACAATAGCATAAAAATATCACACACACAGAAATATACCTAACAAAGGCTATGTGAGACTTCCACACTGAAAACTAGAAACAGCACTACATATAATCTTGAGTGATCCACATTAATGTTTAGGTCTTTAGAATGTTTAAATTAAAAATTTAAAATATTTTGATGCTTTCCATTGTACATAACTTGATACATAGATTTAGTGCCATTCCATCAAAACTCCAACACTCTCTAAACAAGACAATTCTAGAATTTACGTAGAAATTCAAAGGCTCTAGGACAGGAGAAACAATTTTGAAATTACAAAATTGAAGGATTCGAACCGCCTGACTTCAGACCTACTATGAAGCTGCAGTAATTAAGACACTGTGGCGCCAACGTGAGAATAACTAAATACAACAACACAGAATGGAGAGACCAGAGCAGACCAATGCATGGGGTCAGCCGACAAAGTGGCCAAGTCCACTAATTAGATGGGGAAGGAAAGTCTGGTCAGGGTGGAAGAAATTGTACCTTGACCACCTCTCCACTCCATCTCAAAATTAATATGGCGTGGATCATAAACCTACACATCAAAGCTGACATCAGTGTTTCTAGAAGAAACATGGTAAGCTATCTTTAGGATCACAGAGTAGGCAAATGTTTTCTGGACAGCATCCAAACAGCATGGACCATAAAGGAAAACACGCGGGCTTTATCAACATTTAAAATATCTGCTCTTTGAAAGGCACGATATAGAGAGTGCAGGTGAGCCACAGAATAGGAGAAAATGCTCATAGCAACGTGTCTGACAGTATCCAGAGCCTATCGAATAACTATCACAAGTTGACAATAAGAAGATGAAAATCAAATAATGTGAGCAAAACCCTTGGGCTGGCACTCCTCAAGAGGAAATGCATGATTGGCCAATAAACACATGAAAAGATGCTCAACACCATCCATCATCAGGGAAATGCATAATAACATCAAAGTAGATTCAATTTCACACTCAATGGGGCCGAGGGGGAGGGAGGGGAACAATGCCAAGTGATGGTGAGGATGTGGAGTAACAGGAACTCTTCTCCACTCTGGTGAGAATGTAAAACGTTGCAACCACCTCTGAGGCTTATAAAATTAAACCTGTCCTTTCCGTGTGACCCATAATCCCACTCTAGGTATTTACCCAAGAGAAATAAATAGGTGTCCACATAAAGCCTGTCTAAGAACAGCCATCACCTTTGTATTCATAACAGCCCCTGTTGGAAGTCACCCAGAGGTCCATCAGCAGCAGGGGATGCACCAGTTTTGATATATCCATGCAACACCATGGTACCCAGCAACAAAGACTCACCACATTCCCATAGCAACAAAGTGCGAAGGGGAAGAAGCAGACAGGCTAGAGAATATACTGTGGGTTCCGTTATATGAACTCCAGTCACAAAACTGATGGGTAGTGATGGAAATCAGTGGGAGGTGGGGCACTGACTGGATGGGGAGCTCAGGGGACCGGCCACTGGATGGTGCTTGTCTGCTTCTGGGGAAGCCCAACCAAGACAGGGCTGCTCTCAGGACAAAGGCCAAAGTCTTGAAGGTGACCTGCATGGCCCTGTTTGGGCCCCCCAACTTTCTGGCCTCTTCTGGAAAAGCACCCATCCCTCCCTTTGCTTTCTGGACTTCAGACCCTCTGGCTCTAAAGGTCCTGTGCTGACCATAGTTATGTTCCACTAGTGCCGAGCACGGGGGGTGGGTGGCCTCTGATCTGCTCAGGGATCTACTCCAGTGCCCTGGGTGAGTTTCAGGAGCAGAGCCAGGCTGACCTCTTCCGTTCACAAAGACCGGGCTGCACTGGACTGGGGAGTCCAACCTGTCTGGCCTTCCTCCTGGGGGATATAGGACCGGTGAGGACCTGGAAATGTGGGCATAGCTCTGACTGCCCAGAGCATACCCTGGTCCGGAGTAGGGCAGAGTAGGTTAGTAGGTCAGAAACTTCAAATTAGGGAGAGGCTGAGGGGGCTTAGCCCAAGTGAGGGCAGAGCGTATGGACAGAAGGTCCGAGAGAGCCAAATGAAGGAGTGGGGAGGCCGGGGTTCCTGGCCACCCTCAGCTGCATATTGGAGGGTCCGGTGGCGGCCAGGCAGAGGCCCTCCCAGAATCGGTGCCTGTGCTGGCCTGTGGGCCAGGCTCAGGTCCCAGCTGTGTGCTCTAGGCACAGTCTGCCTTCACTCTCAACTCAGGTCACGGATCACCCTGAGGCTGTGGTTCCCCTGGAGGCAGTGTGTGGCCATGTGTTTTGCAGGTGTGAGATCTGGGGCCCCCCGCACACCCATCTTCTAGCCTCAGGGAAGCCCTAGGCGAGGATCTGCCATGAGCTCCCCCAACAAAGATGCAGTCAGGGGGCAGCCCAGCCAGACTCTCCTGCAGCCCAGCCAGCACAGTGAGGACAGATGACCACTGGTTCTTTATTGAGTGTTCTCAGAAGGCCAGTGACCTGGGACTGCAGCTCATTTGCGGGGAGCTGAGGATCCTGAGCCCAAAGGGCCATTTTCAGGGAGTTCCACTTGGAAGGGGAAAGCCACTTGGGGCTGGGGCAGTGGCTTATCCTGCCCCAGGGCCCAAGGGCATAGCCGGGTGCCCAAGTCATAGCTTGTTCCGGGGGCAGTGCTGCAGGGCCGCCTGCAGGGCCTCAATCACTCGGTCCACATTCTCCCGGGTGGCGTTGTAGCCCAGGAGGCCGATCCGCAGCACCTGGGGGCGAGGGTGGCGAGATGTCATCCTCCACCCAGCACTGCACCTGGCCCTGGCTGCGGTCTGGTGGGCTCAGAGCCAGGTGGGCTCCCAACGAGGGGACTCCCACCCAGGGTAACAGGGAAGCCAGAGCTTCCTCCGGTCACACAGGGAGCTCCCAGACCCAGGCAGAGCCCACAGAGCTCAAGAAGGACATCCAGGGTGGCGGTCAGAAAAGGCCACTCAGAATCACCCTCTCAGTGGGCACGGCTGGACCCGGGCACAGGGCCTCCTGCCTGCACTGCCATGCAGAGGGGAGGAAGGACACTCTGGGTGGCATTGGAGGTGCTGCACCTCACCAGCCGGGGAAGAAGGGCCCAGATTCCCCCTGCCCAGATCCCTGAGGTTTGGAGAAAGATGTTCCCTTCCGGACAACCCCGTGACCTGGGTCCTCGGATGACTGCCAGCCTCAGCCTGGACCCGGGCACAGTCATGCTCCATGTGGGGGTGAGCCTAATTTCTGTGGTAGGTATGGCCACCCCCTCACCTTCCCCAAGGAGGGCCCAAGGCCGCCCGTGATTTCGATGGAGAAGTGATCCATGAGGTACTTGACGATGTCTCTCCAGTCATAGCCAGCAGGCACGGCGATTGTGGTGACGGTGGGCAGCCGGAGCGCCTGCAGGACAGGCCTGGCTCAGCACCATGCTGACCACTCTGGGCCAGCCCCACCCGCCCTGGCCTTGGGCTTCAGAGGAACAGGTGGGGCTAGGGGAAAACTGGGGGGTCCCAGGCTGCTGCTCAACCCCCAAGGGAACATATGGCTGTTCCCTCAAGCAGGTCACACCCACCCTATGTCAGAGGGGCTTCAAATGCCTGCTGACACTTGGGGTGCCTGGCTCATTCAATTAACCTTCCCCCAGTCAAAGCCCATGACTGGTTGGGCTCTGGAGGCCAATGGGAATCTTCCAGGTCAGGGATCCCCATAACTATTCCAGGTGGAGGGGCTTTGGGGGAGATTGAGGCATCAATTAAAGATTCAGAGGCCAGAGAGCCATGACCTTGATAGTGATGGCCCCCCAGGACTGTCCACAACCCCAGGACCACAGGAACCTGCGTCCATATAGAGGGAACTGGGCAGGACCTGTCCCTCTCCTCAGACCCCCATGGGGCAGAGTCCCCTTACCTCCCCCGACCCCTGGCCCTGCCCTCCTTACGGGATCCTTCACGAAGAGCTGCAGGCCCAGCCCTTGAAGGCGCCCGTGCAGGTAAGCGGTGACGTCCCGGTGCCGTCGCCAGCTGTTCTCCAGGCCCTGCTCAGGGACAGGGCACCATAGGCAGGTGGGTGGGGAGGAGAAAGCAGACTCCCATCCACAGGGTCAGCTTCAGACTGGGGGGCTCCAAGCCTGCCCGGGACTTTGAGCCCTTTGAGAGTCTCCCTGAGCCCCCAGGTTTGGGGCATGGCTCTGTGGCAAGGGCTACCTCTGGTGAGGGGGATGGGTCCCAGCCAGTACTGGAGCCCTGGGGAGGTGAGTTGAGATCACCTTGTCCAGGTGGGGGGCTGGCCCGGGGAGAGCAGGGGGTTTCTCAGAGGTTTCTGCCTCCTGTCTTCCCAGCATACTGACCACAACCCAAGTTCCATGTAGCTCTACCCTCTCCCTGCCCTACACCCTCACACCCAGCCCACCTGCAGAGCCACCCCCTGTGACACAGGGCCCAGTCTGGAGCTGGTGACCTCTGCCTCCTCGATGCCAGCTCAGCCCTGGGCGGTGGCTTTATGAGTGGACACAGGAGTGGACACAGCGCGACCAGCGCAGCACTGAGCCTTGAGGAGAGGCTGCCCACAGCCCGTCTCTTCCTGACCTCTGGGCTGGGGCCCAGCCTTGCCCAGGGGGAAGGTCAGGACGGTGAAGATGGGCTGTGGTGCAGCTGTGTCCTGTCTGTGCCCTGCAGAGCCAGCCCAGCCTGTATAGACAGTCATTCCAGCACTGTCCCTGTCTGGCTCCTGACCCCAGCCTGGGGCTGGATGTGGCTGCAGGAAAGTGCCCGGCTGCTGAACTTGGGTCATTTTTACACTCACAAACCAGGCTCCTGGCCTCACTCCAGCCCCTCCACTCCTCTCCTCTGCACACCTTGCCTCTCCTCAAGACCCCTCCGGCTGCCTGGGCCCTCACGGACGGTGTCACTCAGCATCCACCCACCCTGGGTTCTGTCCCCGGCCACCCGCGGCCCACAGCTGGTGCTCTCCTGCCTCACCTCTTCTGCGATGAGGGCCAGGCTCTCTCTCAGGCTGAACAAGCTTATGACGGGGGTCGTGTGGTGGTACCTGGAAGACGGGGATGGGTGGGCTTGGTCCAGTGTCACTGGGCTGGGGCTGGGCAGCTCCAGTTGGGCCAGGCTCTGTGTCATCTGGGTCAGCTCCCTTCCAGTGTGGGACCCAGGGACTCAGAGCTGGAAGGGCAGCTGGATCTGCAGGAGCAGAGCTCAGCGGGGCACTGGCCACACCTCAGTGGGATGATGACAGGCACAGAGGCCCCATGCTGGCTCCCACCTCCCAACTGGCCTCCCTGGGCCCCAGTGGCCCCAAGGAACCCACACTGCACCCACTAGGCCCTCTGGGTCGGGCATAATTCCCTGTCCCCATGTGTGTCATAAGGCGCCTTGGGTTATGGCCAAAGCCACCTCATAGAGAGCCCCGGGTTTACCTTCTTCTTCTGAGATGGGGGTAAACTGAGGCCCAGAAATGGGGAGATGTGGCCAGGTCCAAAGTACCTGCTGCCACACTTTTAGGGGGACAGGGATCTGGGAAAGAGTGGGGGGCCATTTGGCTGGCCCTGAGCCCCCAGGCCAGGGAGATATGGGGAGTGTAGGTGGGGGCATTGATGGGGAGCTTGAAACAAAGTAAGCCTGATGAGGGGCCAAGGGTAGTGAGAGGCCACCCCTCAGGCACACCCAGCCCAGCTCCCTCCACCCCTCGCCCTCACATCCTGGGCTTGTCGTCACAGCCCCAGAAGTTGGCCAGCCACTTCATATCCAGGTAGAAGGAGTAGGGCTTCGTCTTCCGGGTGTAGATCTTATTTCTGGGGAGGAAGAACCAGCCTGAGTACCCACCTGTCCGGTTGATGCCTGTGGGATCATTTCCCAGGTCCTCCTGTTCCTCAGAGGTGGGGACCTGGGTCAGGCCTAGCTCTGCTGGCCCTTGGGCTTGGCCTGCACCTCTGCCACTTGGGTGTGACCCTGCTGCATTGGGGAGTCCAAACACATCAAAATGACAAAGAGGAAACTGAGGCTGGGGCCCACCTCTCTTGGGGTATCGTCTGTGAAGCTGGGTATAGTTGAGGGCCTATAGGCAGCCTCATCCCCGGGCTGGGCACCTCCAGATTGGCCTCGAAAACTAGGCCTCTCCCCAAGCTCTGGTCTCAGACCCCGCTGCTTCCTTGACCCTCCCACGGTCATCTCAGACTTTCTGTCCACACAGAATTCCTGATCTCTTCCCAAAGAGTCTCTGTTTTGGTAAATGGCACCAACATTAACCTGGTGACAACCCTCCCCCAGACCACCCAGACCACCAGGCCTGACTTAGGGCTGGACACTGGGGACATGGGGAACACTGTGGCTGCAGCCAGCCAAGATGGCCTATGCTTGGCCCATGCCTGCCCGGGGAGCAGCTCCTGCCTTGGAGGACCCTACCGTGTTTCCCCAAAAATAAGACATCCTCCGAAAATAAGACCTAGCGCATGGAAAGATAAGACATCCCCTGAAAATAAGACCTAGTGCAACTTTGGGAGAAAAAATTAATATAAGACACTGTCTTATTTTCGGGGAAACAAGGCAGATGCTGAGCTGGGGCTGGCGGCAGCGGGGGCTGGCCTTGGCCCTGTTCTTGCTTGAGGCCGGAGAACTTTTGAGTACCAGGCCCTGCATCCCACACACAAGCTGAGGCTCTGAGAGAAGGGTCTTTTGAAGGCCAGTCTGGCCAGGCCTTTGCTGCACACCGAGGCCCTCACCACGTTCCGCCACCTGCCCCCTGGGCAGAGCTTTGGCACCCCTGTCCAGGCTGGGCACCTGTCTAGGGGCATGTTGGAGCACGACTCAAGGCACCCTTCCCTCCCTCCTGGGGGCCATCTGGACTCACTGCACATCCAGCCCTGGATTGGGGGCACAGGGGCCACTCACTTGGCCTTGTCACTGAAGGAGATGAGTGCGGTGCCCGGAGGGGCATTCAGGACCTTCTGGGAACCTGAGTACAAGACGTCGATGCCTGTGGGGAGGAGGGACACGTGTTCCTGCGGGCGATGCCCCACCGAGGGTGGGGTCATTCCAGCTCGGGTGCCCCTTGAAACCCAGGACCTGGCAAATCTGACAGTTTGGGGTAATCTGGGGACCCATCATGCAACTGGCATCTGGAGTGAGAGGGACACCCTTGCAGGGCCAGTCCTACCCTGTGGAGTCTGATGCTGTCCTCATTGAGGTGGAGTGAGCTTGGGACACCCAATGAGTGTCCACTTGGCATGGCGAGAGCCATGGCCTGGTGTCCGAGTGTGTGAGTGCAGTGGGGACAGTGCAAAGGAGGGAAAGAGGTTTTCTTTTCACAGTGTGGAGTACTAGCCCCCTCATCTGTCACAAAAAACCTACAATGCTATCACCTGAGGAGGCCTTGCAATTCTGGACGGCAGTAAAGAATATCAGGGCTCTGAGGATAAAGGGCCGAGCAAATCTGAGCTGTGCCCACCTTATGATCCCCTGGTGGGGCTTCAAATGTGCACTCCCAGGCCTGAATGAAAATGTTCTCACAGCTTATTTCTCAGAGCCTAACCCTGGAAAGAAGCCCACGTCTACCAAGAGGAGAAGGGTGCAGGGAGTGTGTGCATGGAATCGATGAAAACTGAAGAACCGTGCTCAGAAGCATCGAAGTCCCCTCCCTCCTCCCACCCCTCCCGCAGGGTTCTGAGCGCCTCCCCATACATTAACTCCCGCCTGCCCCCACACCAGCGCCTGGCAGCCCAGCAGAAACATGGGAGCTGATCCGTTCATGGAGCCTAGCTGGCGGGGCTGGCGGGGGCACACCCTTACCTTGCTGATCCATGTGGATTGGGACCCCGCCCAGGGATGCCACAGTGTCCACCAGGAGCAGGCACTGGTATCTGGGGGAGGGCAACAGAGTGAAGCCGGAGGGACTTCAGCCCCCTACCCTGCCCTGCCTGCTGGCCCCAGGACCCCCATACAGGGTGCGTGAGGGCTCAGCTCCCATGTTTCTGCCTGTGGTCTGGGGTGCCTGGGGCCTCTGAGGGCTCAGCGCCAGGTGTGTGTGGGGGCCAGGAACCGCGCAGCATGAGCCTGGGCCTCCCTCTGCCAGCAGCCTGCTGGCTGTGTGGTCAGGGCCCAGGGAGGACAGAGAAACAGCCCGAGGACTGGATGGAGAAGACGTGCTACTTGTACACAGTGGGATACTGCTCAGCCATAAGAAAGGATGAAACAGTGCCATTTGCAGCACCATGGATGGTCCTTGAGAATATTATACTAAGTGAAATAAGCCAGGCAGGAAAAGCTAAAAACCAGATGACTTCTCTCGTATGTGGGATATAAACCTGAAACTTGTGGACACAAACAGCAGTGTGGTGATTGCCAGAGGGAAGGGGCTGAGGGTGAAGGGGTCCTAATATATGATGAGGGGAGATTTAAATTTAGGTGCATGAGCACACAGTGCAATATACAGATCTTGTGACAGAAACCCACATCTGAAACCTGTATGGCCCTATTATATATATGGCCATATATATGGTCACTTCAATAAATTTAACTTTTAAAAAAGGCAAAATGAGGGTCCCCTGCTGGGCACAGACAAACAGGTGTGTCCCTCGGGAATCATGGCCCAGATCATATTCATGAGCTTGATTTACTGGACAAGATTCCCGGGGCAGGCTGATGGGGCTGGAGCTGTGCCTGGCGGACACTCGGCCCCTATAGACCCTGCTTGGCTGTGAGCCCCATCCTTCCAGCCTGTGGTTATTTCTGCGGAGCAGGATCGCTGGTCACAGGAAGGCCCATCTGGCTCCCCTAAGGCCCTGTGTGCCCCTGCAGGGATGGGGGAGGCCAGAGGAGGGGAGTGGAGAGCAGAGGCTGCCTTGGGGCTCTGGGATCTCAGCGAGGTGGGTCAGCATCAAGCCATTCTCAGCCATGGAGACTGAGGGACAGTGAGCATTATGAGGTACTGGCCATGGGGGACCTAATCCTGCTCTCAGAAGGAAGGAGCCCACCCAGACTCAGCAAAGAACAAGGAGGACCCGAGAGGTGCCTGCATCCTACACCATGTGACATAGGCTGGCGGGCAGTGAAGGATGGGGTTTCAGCTTCATCTGCTACCACCCGGCTGAAGGGAACTGCCACACCCCCACCCACTCAGCCTGGTCTGACCTGGGCTTGGCTCTGCCCCCAGCACTGTGACCTTGAGACAGGCTCATGTGTGGGGACAGGCTCACCTTTGGGGACAGGCTCAGCTGTGGGGACAGGCTCACGTTGGGGACAGGCTCACATGTGGGGACAGGCTCACATGTGGGGACAGGCTCAACTGAGGGGATAAGCTCACCAGTGGGGACAGGCTCACCAGTGGGGAGAGGCTCACCTGTGGGGACAGGCTGACCTGTGGGGACAGGCTGACCTGTGGGGACAGGCTCAGCTGTGGGGACAGGCTCACGTGTGGGGACAGGGTCACGTGTGGGGACAGGCTCAGCTGTGGGGATAAGCTCATCAGTGGGGACAGGCTGACCTGTGGGGACAGGCTGAGCTGTGGGTATAAGCTCACCAATGGGGACAGGCTCACCTGTGGGGACAGGCTCACCTGTGGCAGAGCTCCCCATAGCCATCAAGGGGCTGCAGCACACCGCTGGAGGACTCCCCCTGGGTCAGGAACAGCAGCACCGGCTTGTGCTGGGCCAGGCCCTGGGTCGGGGACAGAGGTGACAGCTTTGGGCAGAGCCGGTGCCAGCTAGTGCCCCCAGCAGGATTTTTCCTGGTGAAGGTGGGGCAGGATGGTCCCCAAGCATTCCCTTCCGCCCCTGGTTGGCGCACCCTCCTGATCTGCACGTGTGCTGGTGTGGGGCCGGCACCTCGGCTCTGGGAGGAGGCTTTTCCAGGGAGAGAGGGACTTTCCTCCCAGAGACCCAGGGAGAGTGGCCTCATGAGGTCAGCTGAGTCCCCAGGTCAGGGCCCGGGCTGTCAGGGCCTGTTCTGCTCCCCAGCTTTTGCCACCAGCCCCTCTGGTCCTACCCACAGGGTTGGGCTCCTGACTCAGTTTCCCTGCCAGGCAGAACCCTACCTACCTATCAGGCTTCCCACCTGCCCCCAGGTATCACCTGAGGGTCACATGGTGCTGGACAGTCATCTGCCTCAGCCTCCCAGCCCCAAGCCCACCCAGCTGACTGGTCCCCTCCCTCCCCGGGGTCATACCTCCTCCACCTCCTGCTTTGTGTAGTGGCCTCCAGGGTCCTTGATCATCGGGTGTGTGCGGGCTCCTGGGGGCAGGAGCAGAGTGAGCAGAGAGCCACCCCTGCTCCAGCTCACAGGGCAGGAGCCACTGCTGGGGACAGCATTGTGCTGAGTAGGCCACATGAGGGCAGGGACCTGCCACTCTAGCCCCAGCCACTGCACCGGAGAGGAGAGTGGGGTGTGCTCAGTGAGGCTGCTCTTTGTCAACTGAGATTTTGGGGTGCACAGGGCAATAATGAGCCTGGCTCAGCTGTGCCGTCCCTTCTCGGGAGGCCTTCCCCAAGTTCAGCCAGGCTGGGCATCCCAGCATTCCTCACTAAGGAAACAAACAAGCATTTGTGCAAGGCCCAGTGGACAGTGCCTTCACAGCAGAGGAAGGAAGGAAAGAATGGATGAGGGAGGGGGCTCCAGGAAAACAGGCTCTAGTCCTGCTCCCTCTCTCCCAGCCTTGCATCCCTGCACATAGGAGTCACAGAGCCACACGTAGCAGATGAGAAGGCCCCAGGACCATGCAAGGCTCCGGGGAGAGCCCAAGGCTTGGGGCGGGCAGTCAGAGCCCTGGATTGTGGGTGCTGAGGTGCTGGTCTCTGCCCAACCAGTGTGTGCACTAAAGGGGACCAGGTGAGGGGCTGGGAACCCTTGACCTGTCTGAAGTTGTCTATTAACTGATGGAGGGCGGCCATGTGTGGAGCTGACCAGACAGGAGGATTTCCAAATGTACCATCAATCATTAAACCCAGGCCTCTCGCTTGCTCTTGATCTTTGTCTCTCAGGAAGATTTTCTCTGGAAGCGAAACGCTGTCCATTCCTCGGTATTTTGTAGCTTCACAGAAAGAGTTTGTTTCTGAGGCTTTTGAGGGGGGACTTCAGCCTCTGAAACCCTGTCCTAAGGCAGAGCTGGGGTGGCCCTGGGGACCCCAGCGAGCTGTGGGCGCTGAGACGGAGGATTCCCTGCAGTGCCACCCATGCGCTCCACAAACAGCTGTCCCCCACTCTGGGAGGCCAGGGAGATGGGACCCTCGAGCATCCTGACACCTAGCCTGGCCAGAAGGTGACCACAGAGGGGAGTAGGCAGGGGCCAAGGTTGGTACCTGGGGTGAGGGGGCTGCCAGGCATCCTGCCAGAGGCAGGAGGATGGGAAAGGGGGAAGGGGGGGGCCACACCCCACCCTCTGCCCCATCCCTTACCTATGCGCTCCCCGATCTCGGCTGCCCGCTGTCCCCAAATGCCGTTGACCCCAACCAGGAAGGAGTCCCCAGGCTCCAGGAGGTTGAACAGGGCAGCCTCCAGGGCACAGTGCCCCGAGCCGCTGATGGCCAGCGTGAGGCGGTTCCTGGTCTGGAACACGTACTGGATGCCTTGCTTGATCTCATCCATTATCTGGTGGGCCGTCGGGGGTGCAGGTCAGAGGCGGCTCCCGGCCCTCCTGCAGTGAGGAGGCAGCTTGGGGCCGGACCCGCCCCCACAGCCCACCTGGTACATCTCCTTGTGCATGTGGCCGATCATCTGCATTCCCCCGGCCGCCAGGACGCGTGGAGCCAGGTTGGAGGGGCCGGGCCCCAGCAGGAGCCGGCTGGGCACCGACAGGGGCTTGAGCAGGGCCTCTGGGGGGGTCACCAGCAGCTGGTGCGAGGCCATGGTGCGCACCCAGCCTGCCACCTGAGGCCCCAGGGCCACTCTGGCGGAGGTCAGAGTGCGGAGCATTTCCCGGCTGGCCCCGTGCTGGACAGTGCGCCCGTCACACACACACAGGCGCACAGGCGTTGTCAAAGGGGAGGCCTGTGGATGGGCTCCCGCTCCAGCTCCGCCCGCTGCCCACTGCCCGCTGCCCGCTTGTGCTGGTTACCTCACCCTTGGTCAGTGCTTAGCCTTCTGCCAGGGCCTGACAGCTGGGGTGTTGAACCCCTGGCAGGGAGGAGGCACCGGCAGAGACCAGTCAATGGAAAACAGAGCCTGGACGTCCTCTGCCCCTGGTACCCTCTCTCCGGCTCCTCCCAGCCAGCTGGGGCGCTCCCCAGCCCAGTGCTTGTGCTGGGCTCAGGGGGACTCAAAGTTTTTGTTAAAGGACCGTAGAGCAAATATTTCAGGTCTGGAATATTCAGCGTCTGTGCTGCAAATACTCGACCAGGCTGTTGGAGTGCAGAGCAGCCACCGCGGTGTGGCCGTGTTCAAGAAACTTTTATTTACAAAACAAACCATGGGCCAGATTTGGCTCAGACACATGTATACACACACGTATACACACATACACATACATGTGCATACTGAGGACCTGGTCATTCCTGATCCTTTTGGAAATAAGTATGTTTTCTGCTTCTCCATGCCCACAGCCCTGAGGTTTGGCATTTACACATGTAGCCAGGGCACACGCAGGGGTAGGGGTGAGCCCCCTCTTCTTGCTGAGTCGACAGGTAGGTAGAATACATGTAAGTGAAAGGTCCCAGTAGGAGAAGGAGTCAGACCCACCCAGGGGGCACCCAGCAGAGCCGCTGGTGTCCCCAGAAGCCAGGGAGGTCCCGGTGTTGCCTGCAACCTGGTGAAGGAGGCGCTGGGCCTGTGATCTCTGAGCAATTGGCAGGCTTCCTGCAGTTGTGTGCTCAGAGCTCTGAGCCCCTGGGCCACAGTGACCAGGAGACCTCAGGGCTTCTTCAGGTGGCTGAGCAGGCTGCACCACTGCCTGGGGCAGCAGGAGACTTGCTCCCAAGCTCAGCAGAGCCTCTCCATTCAGCACTCATTGCTGGGACTGGGTTTGTGTGACATCCTGGGGGCATGGGGGCCCCACCCGTTTTAGCCTGGCTGGTCAGTTATAGCCCAAGTACCTAGGAACCATACAGCTCTGCAGATGGGCAGGAGGTAATCTGTCAATAAAAACATAGAGGAAATAGGCAGACAGCCTCCAAGGTGTGGTCTGTGCTGGCCCGGGGCAGGCATGGTGATGCTGGCCTTCACTTCCACAGGTGGCCTGGTGTGAACTCCCCTTCCCTCTCCCCTTCTTCACTCCCCTTCCCTTCCCGACAGAGTTCCTTCTGGGCCAGGGCCAGGTCAGGCTGCTCCAGCTGATGCACTTCCAGCAAGAAGAGAAGCAGTCGCTGGGAGAAGGCACCACCCTCCCAAGGGCCAACCTCCCTCAGCTCAGCTCTGGCCTCCTTGTCTGCAGCCCACAGGACCATGCCCCTTCCCTTTGGTCCCACGCTCCCTCCCATCTGGGTTGCTGTATCACCTCCCCCTGGACCAGCTCATCTCGTCATGACATCTCTGTCTCCTGCCCTCCCCCAGGCACATTGCCTCTTCAGTCCAGACTATCGGAAGCACCTGTGTCTTTGCATGTGCTGTTCCCTCAGCCTGGAATGCTTGTCCCTGTCTTTGCTCAACCCCTCTTCTGCTTTGGCCAGCTTCCCATCTGCCCAGAGCTCCTCAGCTGCCCCTGAGTGAGAACTAAAATGGAATCACTGTGATCAAGCTGTTAAGTTATTGAAATCAAATGGGCTGGGCCTGAGGAGTCTTATTCCTGTTCTGACTCTGGGAACCCCCACTTCTGCACTTTCCATCCTGCACCTGTACCTGGGTGGACATCCGCTGGTCCTGTGTCAAGGCCTGGACATACATCACACCTTCCGTTAACCACCTGAATGACTTTTGAATGATGATGTTCCAGTGCCCAGTCCCCCAGACATGTGACAATTACCATTGTGGACCAATCGGGGCTAAGAATGCAGGACCCATTCTTCTGGAGTATGTGCTTTTCAGTGTCAAACTCTCAGACTTCACTTTCTCCTCGAAACATTCTGGGTGTTACCTCCTAATGTTTCCAGTGTGCAAACCTTAAGACTCCTGACTAAATCCTTATCACTTATTTCTAGCCAAAGCCTCCTGCCCTCCTGGAGTAAGTTCAACGTCCTTCTGCCACATGCCACACTAGTCGCACTGCCTGTCCCCTTGGGCAGGACTCCAGGTGAGAGGCAGGGGAAACCTGGGCCCTGGGGAAACCAGGGAGGTGTGTATGTTTTGTTCGAAAACAGGTGTCCCTTGCTAATGCAACCTGAGGGGAGCTGTTGCAATCAAGAGAGGTGTTTCCTCAGGCCTGGAGCGGATTGGAAGCTGTGGAGCCACTGAGGACGGTGAACAGCGGGGCAGGTACCAGACCTCTGCCTCCTGAGTCCTGCTAGATAAGGGCCAGGTGACCTGGGTAGTTCCAGCCTCAACACCAAGTCCAGAGGCAGCACCTACCCGGGGAACAGCGACTCTACTCAGCTCTGTGAGGATCCGCCAGCCCGCCCACCCTACCTTGCCTGGGCCCTGGGCCAGCAGCCCGGGGAGGCAGGTCTGGGAGGGGCAAAAAGTCTAGACCAGGACGGAGTGCCCACTCTGCCTCGCCTTCCCCACCGCAGGCCTCCCAGGCTCTGCTCCTGGAGCACCCAGAGGTGTCTTCGCTCTGCAGGCAGCGGCGGAACCCACAGGCTGCTGCCTGCCACACCGTGCTGTGGTGGAGTTTGGTTCTTGTCTTTAATTTAACTTCTGGTTTTCCCTAACTGATGTGGAAAGTGCACGCAGTGCTTTAGTCTGTGGCCGGCCACCTGCCGCACCCGAGTGGTGTTAGGACGGCAGATGTGTGCCAGCTGCCCTGGGCGCTCTGCTGGTGACACTGCTTTCTGGCCCCTCTGCCAGCTGCCTGATGCTGTGGTGTCTCCACGGAGACTGGGTTTCATATCTACAGTGAAGACAGCCTGTTGTGACAGCGAGGCCGGAGGAGGCCGTCAGAGGCCCTCACAGGCAGCTCCTGGGTCCCAGATGGGGAGGGATTGGCCTGGGGCCTGCAGCCTCAACCTGAGTCCCAGAAGCCTGGGGCGATGGGGGGTGGGATCTCTCTCTCTCTTGGAGACCCCGACAATTATGCAGGGTTGACTTCCTGAGCTAAAACTCAGGAAGCCGAGTGTCTCCTGTTGGCACTCACCCCTCCATGATTAGACCACGTTGCTCTACCCGTGTGACCAGCTGCAGCCTCGTTTCTCCCCCATCCCAGCAGAGGCTTCATTCCGGCTTCATTACTTTTCTTAAAAAGTGGGATGTGCAGACAATCCCAGGGCTTTTCTTTACTCACCATCATTTATGGTCAACCTTGTGAGAAGAGATGATTGAGTTAGGTGGTGAGAAGACTCACAGCTCACTGCTCCGCATGCAGCCCAGGAGAGGCAGCTGCCCAAGGTGGACAGGCAACGCCAGAGCACCCGGTTGGGAGCAGGCAGGCGGGAAGGCCTTCTGAGCCAAGACCTGACATGGAGGAAGGGTAACTGGGTGCGGCCGGGGGTGCAGAGTGGGCTCGGCCCTGGGAGCCGGGCACAGCTGGGGGCGTGGAAAGTCGGTTGGAACCACAGACTTCACCACAGACAGCAGGGAGAGAGCACTGCCAGGAAAGCCGAGAGTCAGCAGGAAAGGGGACTACCTCCTCCTGGGCGACCTCCAGTGCCTACAGTGCATCAGAATCCCCAGATTCTGACTCATGGGACGCTGGGCCTGAGAACTTGCATTTCTCACAGACAGGGCAGGAGGGCAGGTTTCCAAACACGGGGAGGCTCTCAGGGGGTGGGCCTGGGGCAATAGGCCACCGGTTTCCAACAGCCTGTGCTTGGACCTCGCCCTTGACAGAGAAGGTGAAGGGACTAGGTGCTGGCGCCTTGGGGCCCAGCAACAGTGAGCTTCCCCTCTTCCCTTAAATGCAGCTGTCTGTTACTCCTGGAAGGCAAAGGTGACAGGCTGGTTGTCCCCATGTGGCGGGGGTGGCAAGCTACACGATCCCACCCAGATTCAGGGTTGGAGATGGTCTATGTGGCTGGGTACCCCCTGACCAGCACCATAGACTTGGAGCTGGCTGTGCTCTGGTGTGAACAACACGACAGTGCCCTCTTGTGGCTCAGTCTGAGACATGCAGAGGCAGTGGCAGGTCACTCCAGTAGGGATAATCACAATTTTAAAATGTCTGCAGTGTGAGTAAGGGCGCATTCACTGTGAAGCACGAGGAGCCTTCAGCGCCGTCTCTGCCAGCCTTCCTGCACTGACATCGGTCACCCTTGTTTCTTTAATCAGCTGCCCGGCCTCACTTTCACTTGTCTAATTTTGCCAGAATTTTTTTTTTTTTTTTTTTTTTTTTTAATTCTCACTGAGGATATTTTTCCCCATTGATTTCTAGAGAGAGAGTGGATGGGAGGGAGGAGGAGAGAGAGAAGGAGGGAGAGGAACTTGGGTTTGTGCTTTGACCAAGAATCAATGATGCTCCAACCAACTAAGCCACCCAGCCAGGGCAGAGGTCTCTTCGTGGGCATCCTGCTTCGGTGGACACACTCCCCAGGGTGTGAAAACACATCTGGCTCAGGCAGCTGGGTTGGGCCCAAGACACTGCATTTATACAAACCCCCACAGCACGGAGGGCCCTGAGTCTGCAGGCCTTTTAGCTGCCCAAGCCCCCTGCTGCCTGGCCAACCCCTCCCCCCGAATCTCTCTCACTCCCCCCCCCCCCCCAGAGCCTCTGGCAGAGGGGACAAGAACGAAGGGAGCAGGCAGGAGGGTGAGCTTCCCCAGGGTGGGAAAGGTGAAGGTGCTCTGAGAAGGGTCATCCTAGGTCAGGAGACTCCCCTCCCAGGGCA